AGCGCCAGAACCGCCGACGCCACGCCGTACGTGAAGCAGCAGCAGAAGCAGGCAGCAAGTCGCCGAGACAGCAGCAAAAGCAAGCAGGCACGGAGATGAGGGCGGGGCACTGGGGAGTTCTTTACATCTACATCTGTATCGACACCTACATCTACGTCGACACCTACATCTAAATCTAGACCTACATCTACATCTACACCTACAGCTACATCTACATCTGCACCTGCATCTACATCCACATCTACATCAACAGCGAGACTCACATATACATCTACATCTACACCTACATCTACACCTACATCTACATCTACATCTACATCTGCACCTACATCCACATCTACAACTACACCTACATCTACATCTACATCTACATGTTCGCATTGGTTTTGCTTTTGCTTTGCATTGCCTTTGCTTTTGCTCTTGCCTTTGCTTTTGCCTTTGTCTTTGCTTTTGCTTGTGCTTTTGCTGTTGCTTTTGCTTTGCTTTGTTTTTGTTGTTGCTTGGCTTTGCTTTTCATTTGCCTGCGCACAGACACACACACACGCATGTTTTTGCATTCGCTCACCGGGTGTGCTTGAGAATGCTCCGGATCATGCCCACTAAGGGCTCAAGATGGCCCACAGACGGACAACATGCATGGAACACACGTGCGCACACACACACACACACATAGAAGTACATATATATATAGCAGCAGCAATAGTGGATGCTGTGCTGCGCTATGCTATGCTATGCTATGCTATACTATGCTATGATATGCTATGCTATGCTATGCTATGCTATGCAGCGCAATGCTATGCTGGGCTAGGCTAGGCTAGGCTAGGTTGGGCTATGCTATGTTATGCTATGCTACTCTATGCTATGCTGCGCAATGCTATGCTGGGCTAGGCTAGGCTATGCTTTTGCTTTGCCTTCGCTTTTGCCTTCACTTTTGCCTTTGCTTTTGCTTTTGCTTGGCACCCAGGGAGCGCAACTGGGGGAACCGCGCGTTGCTTTTGCTTGGCTCCCAGGGGACTGGGGGAATCGCCCGGGGCGGTTTGCACTGCCCGGCCCCTTTAAGCCAAGCGAGTAAGAACCCTTCTAGGCAGAGCCTAGGTAGGGGGGGGGAGAAAGAAAAAAAAAAAAAACGTCTCAAGTTTTTCAATGCGTTGGAGGTCTGGGGTCTGGGGCGCGGCGCCGCCACCCGCGCCCGAGGCTCCGCCGCCACCCGCGCCGGGGGGCGGCAACGCGGCCAGCGCGGGCGCTGAGGGCCTCCGGGCGGCCGCCCCCGCGCCACGTGCACGGCGACAAGCCGCTGCGGCCCGTGTCCGCGGCAGGCAGCGCACCTGGTGGCCCCACGCCCCCCCCCCACCCCCTCGGCGTGGCGGGCGAGGGGACGTTCGGGGTCCCCAGACCTCCAACGCATTGAAAAAATCAAGGCGGAGGTTTTTCTCGATTTTCGGCCTCCAGCGGCCCTCGCCAGGCCTTGGGACCGTCCAAAAACGACTCAGGATGCAAAGCCGGTCCTGGGGAATGGGTCGAGACTTCCGGGGACCCCGCATTGAAAAAAGCACGACATCGGATCTCTGGGTTCGGGGTTGGGGGCACTCGCACGCATGCCCGCCGTCCTCCCTCCCGACCAGGCCCCACCGGGTCGACTGTCGTCGGACGCGGTGTTGCCGGCGTCGCGGGCCGCGTCGGGGTGGGGGCGCCGGCCCTGGGAGGAGAGGCCTCCAGGCTGGTCGCAGGGTCGGGTGCAGCGTCGGGGCGTGGGCGTCGGCCCAGCGGGGGAGCGGCGCCAGAAGCGCCGCCGATGCAAGCGTCTGGAGCGTCCCCGGGTTGGAAAGTCGGGTCGTCGGGGACCGTGTCGGGGTCGTGGTAGGGACGGCGTCGGCGTCGTCGTGGGGAGCTGGCCAGGGAGGGAGCGGCGTCGGGAGCGCCGTCTTGGACGGCGTCGGCGGCGTCGAGGGGAGCCGAGAGGCCAGACTTGCCGTCGCTCGGACGTCCAATTCCCGTGCATGTTTTGGTTTCGTGCGTGTTTTTTTTGCTCGATGGTCCAGGATGGTCCTCGATGGTTCTCGCCGAGAAAAAATGCACACGTCCGAGCGATGCCAAGCAGGACGGGCGGGCGGGCCTGGGCGGCGGCCAGCACCGCACCCCGCCCGGGGGCGGGGACCCGGGGACCGGGACCGCGGCCGGACCAGAGAGGACCCACGGAGGACAGAGGCCCTACATCGGAGCCAGAAACAAGCCAGACCCCCTCAGGCTCTGAAAAATTCCCGGCGGGAGGTTTTTCACGCTTCTCCGCCTCTCGGGGCCCTCACCGTCCCTCGGGACCATCGAAGAACGACTCGGGATGAAAAAACGGTCCCTGAGAATGGGTCGAGACCTCTGGGGGTCGACGTTCTGACAAAGATCATCACGTCCGGGGCCTGGGTTGAAACCCAAAAAAAAAAAAACTGCCGAGGTTGGGAGCCACCCTGAGATCCGACGTATCGGAAAAATTGCAACATCTCCAAAATCCACGCCTGGAGCCCCAGAGCCCATCTTTCTGCGTTATTTTCCGAGCCGGATCGATATGTGAGGGTCCTGGGAGCGAAAAAACAAAAACAAAAAAAAACAAACAACCAAAAACAAAAAAAAAAAAAAAAAAAAACGAAGACACCTGGCTCGAAAAAATTGAGTCGCCAGGATCTCAGGGCACGCCAGCGGAGCGCGCCGCAGGCGAGGCCGCAGCGCCAGCGGAGGACAAAAGGGGGTGGGCGGCCAGCCCGGCGCCAGCAGGGGCGCCCCGAGGCCGTGGATCCTGGGGCCGAGGGGAGAGAGGGAGGAGGAGGAGGAGGAGGAGGAGGAGGAGGAGGAGGGAGGAGCAGGAGGAGGAGGAGTAGGAGGAGGGAGGAGGAGGAGGAGGAGGGAGGAGGAGGGGGAGGAGGAGGAGGGGGGAGGAGGAGGAGGAGGTGGACCTGAGGGGGCCCGAGGCCCGCGACAGCGGTCCAGTGGGAGCCGAGGGGCGCCCGCGGGTGCAGGGTATCCGAGCTAGCCGCCGCACCCGCAGAGGAGGAGGAGGGGGGAGGAGGAGGAGGAGGTGGACCTGAGGGGGCCCGAGGCCCGCGACAGCGGTCCAGTGGGAGCCGAGGGGCGCCCGCGGGTGCAGGGTATCCGAGCTAGCCGCCGCACCCGCAGTGCTGTGATGACGGCCGCAGGCGCGCCGCGGGGGGCGGGGAGCCCCGTTCGCGGTCTGCGCAGCGTGGTGAGCCGAGCTCACCAAGGAAGCTCTCGATCACGGGGCGAAGGAAAGCGAGCGCCCAGAAGGGCAGAGCTGTCAAAAAAAGGGGGCCAGTCGCAAGCAGGGCCATCAGCCCAAACCCCCGACATCATGAATTTTGTCACAACGTCGACCCCCAGAGGTCTCGACCCATTCCCCTGGATCGGTTTTCATCCTGAGTCGTTGTTCGACGGTCACGAGGGCCAGTAAGTGCCCCCAAAGGCCGAGAATTGAGAAAAACAAAAAAAAAAAAAAACTGCCGTGATTTGTTCGTAGCACGAGGGGGTCTGGGGTCCGCGCAGGGAGACCTGGGAACAGGCCCCGCGGGGGCCTGCAGACCGTCGCAGGATCATCCCACGGGGAGCCCACGAGGGTCAGGGGCCGAAGCCGGATCCAGGGTGACCCTGCGAGCGACGGGGGCCACCAGGGAGGGCGCCAAGCGGGGCTGCAGGCCGGGCTATAGAGAGCCCCAGGGGGCGTCGCGCCCGTCTGGTGACCACGCCGCGCTGGCCTCGCAGGCAGGGGAGAGCGGTCAGCCTGCAGCGGAGCCACCCAGGGCGCCGCTGGGGACGGAGAGTGGGCCCAGAGCGGCGCCAGCGGGCCTGGGAGGGCCGTGGGCGTCAGGGGCGGGGCCGACGGGGGCCGCGGGAGGGGGCAAGGCGGAGCCCCCAGGGGTCACGTCGGGCTCAGGAGCCGTCGGCGGGCCCTGTATTCAGTTCGCTTCGGCCGCATCCGCTTGCCGGAGGGTGTGCGCAGCTGGGGAGGCTGGCACACCCTCCGACCGAGAAAGACGAGGCTCGGCAGGCGGCATGTCCAACTCGGGGGGAGGGGAGGCCCGAGATGGCCGAGGGCGGGCCCCGAAGGGCCAGCGCTGGGCACAGGCCGGCCGCCGCCAGCGGTGGCGAGAGCCGCTCGCGGAGACGAGGCCGGGCCTGGAGGGGATCGCGAGCCGCATCCGGGCCCTGAGTGGTCGGCCTATATAGCCGCAGCGTCCACGGGGCAGGCCACTCCGGCGGGGTGGGGGGCCCCGGGAGTGGCGCGCGCGTGGGCTCGAGACTCCGTGCCCTGCATCGGAGGAGTACAATGGGAAACGGCAGCAAATCCAAGCATAGGCTTCCGTCGGGCATGTCCCCCTACAGGCGCATTCTGGACGAAAAATTGAAAATAGCCAAAAATGCGCTGAAACTGCCAGAATAATCAAACATCGCCCCCAGACTATTTGACTATTTGGGAATATTCCTCCTGTAGCGGGACAGGCCCGACTTAAGCACAGGCTCTTGTTGCATCATCCTGCGATTGTGCAGAGAGCGTATGTGGTGCAAGCAAGCTGCGCAGCGTGGCACCACGCAGTGGCGAGTTGACGAGCGCAGATTCGCCAGGAACTGCACCGATCGCAGATCAGTTTGGGATCAGGCGTGAAGACCCGCCATCATCCGTTTGTGCGGTGGGGGGGGGAGGGGGGGCAAACGGCTACCCTTAAGTCGGGCGTGTCCCCCCAGACAGGGGGATCTTCGACGAAAAATAAAAATATTAAAAGAATAATTCAATTTTGCCCCCCCCCCAAAAAAAAAACTACAAAAATAGTCCCCAGAGCCTTTTTTTGACTATTTTTGACTATTTTTGAATACTCCCCCTGTAGAGGGACAGGCCCGACTGACGGCTACCCTGGAAGTGTGCCCCGCGAAGCGGGCGGTAAGCGTCTGGATCGAAGCCCGTTCTCAGAGACCGACGAACAGACCGCCAGACGCCGAAGAGGACCTGCACCTGCCGTCGACACGAAACACATCTACCGACGAACTGCGCCTGGTTGCCTCGCGGACAGAAAGGCCCCCCGACATCCAGCGTCAAGGGCCCCCGACCTCTCGACCATCTCCCTGGGACGGGCTTTTCATCCCGAGCCGTTGTTTGAAGGTACCGGGGCCTGGTAGGGGCCCCGAGAGGGCGAAAGCTACGAAAAACATCTCCGTCCCGATCTGTTCGAGACGCCCGACGCCTGGGACCGCAAGGACACCCGATCCGGGGAGAAGGTTCCGCACAAGGGGCAGGGCTGGCGCCGGACGCCGGCCGGCGACCCCTGCTGCCGAGGGCCTGGCCATGCGCACCTCGACGTGGAGGCTGTCCCTCTAGGGGGCGGGAGCGGCAGAGGCGCGGGGACCCAGAGATCCGATGTCGTGATTTTGTTCACTGCGGGGCCGCCGGAAGTCTCGACCCGTTCCCCAATACCGGCTTGTCGTCCTGAGTCGTTTTGTTGCCGGTCCCGGGGCCCGGCGAGGGCCGCTAGAGGGCGAAAATTGCGACCTCCGTCTTGAATTTTTCAGCACGGTGGATCTCTGGGGATGGTGCTGGTTGGGCAGAGAGCTCTCGACGCCGGCGCCTCTTCGGGGGAGAGCGGGGGGCACGGGGGCTTTTGAAACCCCTCCGGGGCAAGGCCACGCTCCCAGAGCACGACACAGCACGACTGTTTCCTCAAGCGAGTGTGGCCTCAAGGACCATCATATGTGCTATTTCGAAAACCCTGAACCCAAAAACGTTTTCATCTCTTGGGGACGCATTTTTCGCTTCCGCCACCTTCCGCCGCCCTTCCGCCGCCCTTCCGCCGGCTTCCGCCGGCGGAGGCGGCCTCGTTTTACTTCCGCCGACCCTCCTCCGACCTTCCGCCGCCTTCTGCCGCGGAAGAGATGACAACTCCTCCTACTCGCGAAGGCAAGGCCCTGTTTGGAACGCCCCATATACTTACGCTGCTGAGGAAGGCCAGTGGCAGTGCCAACCCGAAGCCGAAGTCCTTGGAGATGCTTCTGTGGATGCTAACCCCCAGGCTCGTCACAGATGCCCCTTCCCGATCTTCGAAAATCCACCTTGGAACGGCAACGAAATGCAGTGCGAGGTAGCGCAATGCAACGCACACACAGAGCACTGCAACGCAATGCTGCGAGGCAAATGGATACGGAAATACAAGTCACTGGAATACGATGCGAAGCAATTCAGCGCAATGCACGGCATCGCGATGCAGGCTTAGCGATGACATTGCGTATAAAGCAAACCACTGTTCACCAAAAACAGGGCAACGCATAAGCTGTTAATACTTAACGACCAATAGACATGCTGTTCAAAGTGAACCAGGACAAATGCAAAGGGGGAAAGCACATATGCACCACGTCACACTGAAAAGCAAAGATATCGACCGTGTCATGCCCCTTATATCGAGTCCACCCCATACCGGGAGAAGGATAATAACTTTGTCTATCTACACGGCATGAAGGGTGCCTGACGCCTGTACTCAGAGACGGCGTCGGACTCGCCATTCCTGCAGCGGTGCCTGGATGTCCCTGCCTCAAGGGGCACTGACCTCGTTGTGAAGCACAACATGATACAGCCAGACCTAGAGCAAAAGAACATCCTTCAAGAACATGGAACCCTCCACCGGCCAAAACACACAACCACCCTAGCGCACCCTCCCCAGGATGCACAAGAGAACCCAGCAAGCGCGAAGAACACGAGGGTACCCTCCCCGAGCCGACCTCGATCGTATACCTCGCTCCGACTGATATTGTCAAGCCTCACCCGAGCCCTCAGAGGCCTCTGAAGACCTCCAGGGTCCCACAAGACCTGAACCCCCGTGTCAATGGGACCAATCCCTCGCCGCGGGTCGAGCGTGGACCCTCGACCCTCGACCTCCGGTGCCCGACCCTCGAACTTCGCTCCTCGACCCTCGAGCCTCGACCCTCGACCCGCGACTCTCGTCCATCGATCCTCGGGTATCGATCCTCGCCCCTGGATCCTCGAACCTCGATCCTCGTGGCCACGAGAGCCATCCAAGAGACCCAGAGAGAAAACACACAAACAACAACCCCCCCCCCCAAAAAAAACGACAACAAGAACGACAAAAACAAAAACAACAACAACAGCAACGACAACAACAACAACAACAACAACAACAACAACAACAACAACAACAACAACAGCCACAACCACAACCACAACCACCACAACAACAACAACAACAACAACAACAACAACAACAACAACAGCCACAACAGCCACAACCACAACCACAACCACAACAACAACAACAGCCACAACCACAACCACAACAACAACAACAAAGGTCCCCCGACGGAATCCGCCCCAACAGTCCGCCGAGCTCCATCCCTCTTCCATCTGGTGGTCTCCAGAGCTCTCCTGAGCTTTCCAACGCTCCCTGGAGGCCCTGGAAATCTCCAGAAGCCCCTGGAGACCAAAAACCGAAGACACACACACACACACAAACAAACAAAACTGGATCCTCCAACCTCGAAATTCAAACCTGGGCGCTGGACTTGAGTCCATGCTACTCCTAGTCCTCCTTCTCCTCCTCCTCCTCCTCCTCCTCGTTTTCCTCCTCTTCGTCCTCGTCTTCGTCTTCCTCCTCCTCGTCCTCCTCCTCCTGATCCTCCTCCTCATGCTCCGCTTCAGTTCCTTACATATAACTTCCTCCTCTCGCGTTCCAGGCGTGCTTTTGTAAGGCGGACAAGGCGTTTCGCCTGAGACCTCCTCACCAGCTATGACCCTGAATCTTAAAAATTGACAATAGCTTCACAGATGGAGGGCGGGTGGATTTCAACGCGCACATTCGTTTTGCAAATCCCACCAGCCCTTTGGGCGTGAGTGGTTTAGAGAGCCCGCTCTGTTCTCAACCCCCTTCTTCCCCTTCGGGGAGGGGTTTACCCCTCCCCCTACCCCCTCCCCCTGGGCCTGGAGAGGACCCTCCGCGGGTGGCCGGAGGGGTCTTTTTCGACTCCTGGGAGGGCTAAAAAACTACACCCCTCACGAGGATTCTGGCCCCGACGGGGGGGGGAAGAAAAGTGCTCCCCTCTTCTTTGAAGCCAAAATCATTGATTGTACTACGGTTTTGGCCCCATTTGGGCCTTCTGAGGGGGCAGCGCTCATTAAAGCTCCCCTTTTCTTTCAAGCCAAAATCATTGATTTTACTAAGGTTTTGGCCCCATTTTGGCCTTCTGAGGGGGCAGCGCTAATTGAAGCTCCCCTCTTCTTTGATCGATTTCCTCCAACATGGCCCCAAGAAGCGCCCAGGAGGCACCAAGAGGCCCCAAGATGGCCCCAAGAGGCCCCCAGGAGGCCCCCAAGAGGATCCCAAACGGCCCAAAGAGGCCCCCCCGAGGCACCCAAGACGCCGAAAAGTCCATCAGGACGACCCTCTACTCGCCTGGGCGTCGTTTCTGGACGGGCAGGAGGAGGGGCCCGAACGACTCACACCAGGACGAGGGGCCCGAACAACTCACACCACGAGAAGCCCGAACGACTCACACCAGGACGAAGAGCCCGAACGACTCACACCACGAAGAGCCCGAACGACTCACACCAGGAAGAAGGGCCCGAACGACTCACACCAGGACGAGAAGCCCGAACGACTCAAACCACGAGGAGCGCTTTCTCTCCCTCCTCCTCCGCCTCGTCCTTCTACCGCTCCCACCACAAGGGGGATGTACAAGGAGGCGGGAGGAAGGAGGAACAGGGGAGATATGCGGGGGCAGGCGGAAACACGCCTGAAAAACACGACTGTCGGCATGATTCGCTAGAGTGGCTGTTTTGAGATGGGCTGGTGGGGATACGCGAAGCGTGAAGAATTTGAGAGAGCTTCACGGTTTGAGGGCGGCTCTTTTGCAAAATGTGGTTCTCGCCTTAGCGCCGCGCACAGTCCTTGTTAAAGAATGCAAGAATTTCACGGAGTCCCATGGTTAACATACCAGAAATGGTGTTGTGGAAAAAATCCATATAATGGTGGTGCAACAGCTACGTTAATTCGCGGTGCCGAATTCCCAGGAATGCCGTTCGGTCACGATTCAAGATCGCCACGACGCAACAGTCAAGTTGATCCGTGGCGTTGGAGTCCCGAGAATAATGTTGTGGCATGCTTCAAGGTCTTCAGACAGTTGTCTTCCAACGAGGCAGTCCTCTCAGTGGAAATGAATCCTTGCAGGGGCTTATGAAGAGGGAGCTTGGAGGGAGCGTTTATTCCAACATCACTGATGACTCGTGGGTTTACCCTGGTCTACCTCCTCCTCCTCGTCACACTTACCCAGCACCCGTCCTTTTTGAAAACGCATGCTCATGCGACCACCAGACGAAACGATAGGGCGGGCGGACGTTTCGCTTGAAAAACTCATGATCCTGAACCGTAAACTTCGCAACTGCTTCATGGATGAAGGTTGGGTGGTTTTCGTCTCGCCTTCGGGTCGCGCGAACTCGCCTCAAAAGTTTACAACAGTTACAAGGGGGAGCGCGATGTGTTCAAAGTGTGGCTCTTGTCTTGGCGCCATGCACATTCGGCTGAATTGAAGCTCTTACAGGGATGGAGGACGGCACCCTTTCAAAATGGCGCTGTCGCTATAAAGACTTCTGTAAAGCAGGCAACTTGAACATGTGTAACAGCTGCACAAGTGAAGTGTCTCTTTTTGTTCCGAAATCTGTATCTCACGGCAGACAGATGCGAAGTCCACGACCAGAACCATGCACTTGTGCAACAATTCCACTGGTGGGGCCGCTCCTTCCTCAAAGCGGGAATCGCGCTGGACACCTCGCTGCACTGTATGATCATACCTTCTCGCACTCCATACGCCCGGTTTCACAATAAAAGGGGGGTGGTCTGATTTGGGAGGGGGTCTGATCGGAGCTGTCTTGGCGAGTTCCACGGGGGTCTGGGCTGAAGGCCGCCTGTTCATGGCTGGTCTAGGGGGGGTCTAAGAGGGCTGTGATCCCCTCCCAATGAACTCATTGGTTACCACGAACCGCTAGAAGGCTGCACGGCATTTCTTTTTCAGCACGGGGCGCTCGCCTGAATAACAGGCCCGTGGGGTGCTGGTCTCTCCCTGGGGCGCCTCTTGAAGTGAACAAAAAGGCTTGTGGCGACTCGTGAGGAGGGGGTGTGTTCAAGCATCGTTGATGTACCTTGGGCTTACTCTGGTCCACCTCCTCCTCCTCCTCATCATCATCAGCATCATCATCATCATCCCCCTCCCCGCCAGTCCCTCTCCCACCTCCCCCTCCGCATCTTCCTCCGCTTCCTCCCCAGCAGCGGCAACAGCATTATCATCAACAACACCAACATAATGCTCATCTGCCGCCATCATCATCATCATCATCATCATCAGCAGCAGCATCATCATCATCATCATTATCATCATCACTATCATCATCATCATCAGCATCATCATCATCAGCATCAAATGCATCATCATCCTCATCATCATCATGAGCAGCAGCATGATTATCATAATCAGCAGCAGCAGCATTTTGATCATCATCATCATCAGCAGCAGCATCATAATCAGCATCATCTTCAGCAGCAGAAGCATCAGCATATTCATCATCAGCAGCCTCATCATCGTCATCGCCATCGTCATCATCATCAGCATCATCATCAACATCATCAGCATCGTCATTTCCAGCATCATCATCACCAGCAGCATCAGTATCATCAGCATCATCGTCATCATCATCGTAATATCCATCATCACGTTAATACCAAGCACCGTCATCATCATCAGCAGCAGCATTACCATCATCATCATCACCACCTCCACCACAACCGCCACCTTCATCATAATCGGCAGCAGCACAATCATCGCCATCATGCTTCGTCATCAGCAGCAGCATTATCATCGTCAGCATCATCAGCATGGTCATTATCGCCGTCATCATCATCATCATCAGAATCGTCGTCATCGCGGTCCTCGTCATCATCATTATCACAATCATCAGCATCAACATTATCCTCGTCATCATCAGCATCAAAGTCAGCACCATCATAAACCACCATCATCGTTATTGCCATCATCATCAGCATTGACATCATCACAGGCAGCATCGCCGTCGTTGTCATCACTGTCATCACCGCCATCATCGTCATCATCGTCATCGTCATCGACGGCCTCATCATCATCATCATCAGCAGCATCATCATCATCATGTTCAACAACATGCTCATCAGCCATGGTCATCTTATGCAGCATCGTCCACCTCTCAATCATCAACATCATCATCAGCATCAGCAGCAGCAGCATAATCATCATAATCAGCAGCAGTAGCATTATGATCATCATCAGCAGCATCATCATTATCATCATCACCATCATCATCAGCATCGTCAGCATCGACATCATCATCACCAGCAGCATCAGCATCATCATCATCATCTTCATCATCAGCATCACCGTCATCATCATCACCACCACCACCATCATTATCATCATCATTGTCATCATCATCGGCAGCATCGCCGTCATCGTCACCACAATCATCACCGCCATCATCGTCATTATCGTCGTCATCGCCATCGGCGACGACAACCTGCGAGAGCCCGCGGGAGTCCTGCGAAAGCCCCGAGGATCATGGAAACCATTAAAAAACCTGCAAAATCCTCGCAAATCGTCGGCCACCGTCTGCGACCCACGACGACCGACGACGACGACGACGACGACGACGACGACGACGACGACGACGACGACGACTTCCTCGGCGCATGCCTCCGCCACTGCCGGAGCTCGGGCAGGTCCAGGGTGAGGTCCAGGCAGCCCCTGCTGAGCCTTCGGCACACCAGCACCCCGCCTGAGGAGCAGGGAGGGCAAAAGAAAGCAGCCCCCCAAAAGAAGGAGCATGGATGAGGAGGGAGGAGAAGGACTTCAGGGGGGTGGGTGGTGGCGATGATCAGGTTTGGAGGGAGCTCTGCGGTGGTAATGCTGAGGTTTTCAAGGGCTCTAGAGGGATCCTGCGGGGTCTAGAGGATTGGGGGAGGAACGGAAAAGCGAAAGAGGAGGAGGGCAAGGGGCAGGAGCAGCAGCAAGAGAGGGAGCAGGAACGGGACGATGCAGGAGGAACGGGGAAAGAAAAAAGAAGATGAGGATGAGAGGGGAGGACAAAATGCAGGGAAGAAATGACGATGGATGAGGAAGAAGAAGAGGATAAGGGGTACGAGGAGTAAGAGGAGGTGTTGGAGGGGCGGGGTAGGTGAGGAAGCCAGGGCAGCCCTCAGGCAGACAGCGGCACTCGAAAAGCATACCCGCTGACGAACGGAAGTCTCCTCTCTTCAGTATGATCTGCGTTATCCTTCTCCCCCTACTCCTCCTCCTCCTCCTCCTCCTCCTCCTCTTCCTCCTCCTCCTCCTCCGCCTCCTCCTTCTAATCATCATCAGCAGAAGCAACAACACCAACGTCATCATCATCATCATCATCATCATCATCATCATCATCATCATCATCATCATCATCATCATCATCATCATCATCATCATTAGCATCATCATCATCAGCAGCATCATAACCATCATCATCATCATCGTCATCATCATCAGCAGCATCATCATCATCATGAACAGTATCATTACCGGCATCAACATCATCATAACCAGCATCAGCAACAGCATCATCATAATCATCATCATCATCATCAGCAGCAGCAGCAGCAGCATCGTAATCATCAGCAGCAGCAGCATCATCACTATCATCGTCATCGTAATGATGATCGTTATCATCAGCAGCATCATCATCGTCATCAACATCATCATCACCAGCATCCTGGTCATCATCATCATCAGCATCATCAGCAGCATCATCATCAGCATCAGCATTAACAGCATCAACATCAGTTGCAGCATAACCATCATCATCATCATCATCACCATCACCATCACCATCATCATCATCATCATCATCAGCATCATCATCATCATCATCATCATCATCATCATCATCATCAGCATCATCATCATCATCGTTAGCATCATCATCGTCATCATTTCATCTGCACCATTATCAGCATCAGCATCAGCATCAGCATCGCCATCATCATATGCAACATATCCTGCAGCATCATCATTAGTAGTATTATTTGTGACTATTGTTATTATCCCGCTGTCGCTTCCCCTGCGACCCCATTTCCGCTCCCTCTCCTCTTGCTTCTTATCCTTCCTCCTCCCGCGCCACTCCTGCCACTTCTGACGTACCTGTAAAAGCAGGACGACCGTGAGGTCTACATAGGTCTCCTCTCCTCTCTCAGATGTGATAGGGAGACAGTGGCCGAGGACTCGTTTCCAGAACATTTCTTGCGCTTGGGGGTTCTTCCTTGCTCTGAGGCGAGCTGGCGACAGGGGCTCACACGACCACACGACAGGGTCCACGCACGCTACGGCCGCCCGCAATACGGACCCGCACGACAGCTTCACACACGATTGTATCCCACATGGCAGAGCCTCAAACGATACAGACCCAAAGAATAGGGTCCAAAACGATTGCACCCTATACGTTGCGCAGCGGCAGTGCTTGGGGTCCGCGCCTATACCATTGGATCAGGGTCTCGCGGCTGATGGATGGTCTGTGGCGGGGAGGTCGTGGGCAGTTCCCCTCGCCTCGGTAACTTTCTTGAACGGAGTCTCGGATTGGCAAGCAAGCATAGCTGTTTGAGCCGTGTCCCCGCTTCTGCCGAAGGCCAAGCGGACGACCGTGGCATGAATGCCCTGTCTGGCCCTCAGGGGCCGACGGGGCCTGGCCCTGAAGAACACCTCTCCTCTTCTGCAGCACGAGGCACGATGCCATGGCCAGGCCTCAGGGCCCGGCAGGCGGGGACGTTGACAACAAGGACGCTGGCGCAACCAAGAAAACTGCAGCCGTGGGCCGAGACAACGTCCGTCCTTCGTTCTCTCCAGCTGGATTTGGCTGAGGGGCAACGATGGGGGGGGGTCTGGCACAGGGGGGGCACATCGATGTGGAATCGGCGATGCATCGCCGATAGATCGGCGATATGCCGCCAGTAGCAATTCCGCGCGCTCCTGGGCGGGGAGGCGCTGTCAGACCCCCATCGGGGATCAGTGGGCGCTTGGGGGTCGATGCATCCCCCCCTACGCCTATGCCCCCCTTATCGTTGCCCCTGACTGGCAGAGCCCTGGGGTGCAAAGTCCTGGCCCCTGGGGCCCTGAGGGCCGAGCTCGCGCCTCAGAGCGAGCAACAGAGGCCCAGCCAAGCCTGCACCCCAGAGCCAACGTTAGGTCGGGCCTGTCCCTCGACAGGCCGATGTTCGAGGAACATGTTCTTCAATTGTCCAAAAATACTCCAAGATGATCACAACAACCAAAAAAAGCGTTTAAACAAAAAGCCCCCATACTTTTTGTTTTACCATTTTTGAATTTTCCTCCTGTAGAGGGGGCAGGCCCGACTCAAAGCAAACGGCACCGAGGCCCGCCCATGACGGCCCAGCCCTCCGCGTGGCGACGCCGGGCACGAGGCACGCTGCCGCGGCCGGGCCCAGCCTGTACGCCGGAGCGAACGACAAGGCCCTCGCCAAGAGCCGGGCGAGCCCCTGGTGTGCCGACGCCGGGAGGTGCGAGGCGCGGGGCGCCTCCACCTTCTCCTCCTCCTCCTCCTCCTCCTCCTCCTCCTCCTCCTCCTCCTCCTCCTCCTCCTCCTCCTCCTCCTCCTCCTCCTCCTCCTCCTCCTCCTCCTCCTCGAGGCACGATGCCCGGCGCGCGCGGGGACGCCAGGGTGCTCGGCGCCCGCGGCGCTCGCGGGCTGCTGCGCGGGCGGCAACGACGCGAGGACGCCCGGCCCCGACGCGGCAGGCCGCGTCGCGGCCGAGACCTGCGCGGTGCTCACGGCCACGGTGCCACCGTGAAGGACGCCAAGGCACGGCGAGGGCATTGGTTACTCGACGGCGTGCGAGGGGGGGGTGGGGGAACTTCGGGTTCGAGGTTTTCGGACGTTTTCGTCGTTTCTCGGCGTCTTTCCAGCCTCGGGTGCCCAGATCGCCTCGAACGGCCGCCAGAGACCCGAGCTGTGACCCCCCTCAAAAAATCGGCGGCGCGCCTGGGGGGGAAGAGAGAAGGAGGAGGCCCTCTCAGAAGGCGGTGGGACTTCTGAGAAGTCCTCGCGCCTTCTGAAAAGTTTTCTACGTCTTCGGGGAAAGCTTAGAAAACTTCTCAGAAATCCGGGGGACCTCCGAACCTTCTGTGAAGACCCGCCACTTCTCACTTCCCCCTGGGCTCGCCGCCGAGATACGGAACTCGCAGGTAAGGAATCCAGCCAAGGCCACGCTAGCGGCGATGTTGGTTAACGGCAATGTTAGAAATCTGGTTCTTGCGGCGCCGAACTCGCGCAGAAAAAAGTGTAGGAGAGCACAAAGAGCGCTTTGCTGCAATTGGGTTGGCCACGAACCACCCCGTTACACACATCGCCGTTAGCGTCTCTACGGCCCAGGGTCCGGAAGCCGGTGGAACACCACGGGAGTTTCTTCGCTATTATCGGCCTCTGGAATCCGTGAAAAAACCGGTTTGGGATGAAAAACTGGTCCCAGGGCATGGGTCCAGACCGCCGGGGGTCCAAATCATGCAAAACTAATACGGTCGGGGGTATGCGAGGTACGGTGAGGGCAGTGGATAAGGAATTCTCAGATATGGAACTCAGGGTCTGGCAGCCGGTGGAGCACCCCTTGGGCTCAGATATAACCGCCGCCCTCATCAGACAAGGACCCCTCCAGGGCCTGAAGCCTCCGCGAGCACGCTCCGCCACTCGAACGCCCCCACCGTCCGGCACGGAGCGGGGCTCTCTTCTGGCCACGGCGAGCCCCGGTCGGGCACGGGCTCCCCGACCTTGGGATCCGAGGAGCGGCCCGAGCACCCGCGCCCCTCCGGAGCCCGGAGCGGTCCTCCCTCCAGCGGCGCAGCCGCGCCCCGAGACGCCGACCGCGGCACCCCGCCAGGGGGCGCGGCCGCCCCGACAGCTCCCGCCCGCCGGGGCGCCCGGCGTGCCCTCACCGGGAGGCCGGGGGGGGGGGGAGCGGCACCAGCAAGAAAACTTTGGGAGGTCCGCGCGGAGCGAGTTGCGAGGCGGGGGCTTATCCATACCCACCGCCTGGGAAAGGACGTCCTGGTGCCCCAGCGGGCGGCGGATGTGGATACACTTTTTGGCCCCCGGGGGCCCGAACGTGTCCATATCCGCCGCCTGCGAGGTCCCCGAAAATGGATCCTGCAGGCGGTGGTCATGTACAAACTCTCGCCTCGGACGGTTGGCCGAGGAAGCGCAGCAGCATTTGATCGGCGGCGGCTGGGGCAGCGGCCGGGGCAGCGGGCAGCGGGGGATGCACTGGTGCCGAGACGCGGGCGCGACAGGAGGGAGGGGGGAGGGGGCGCGACGAGGGGGGGGGGAGGCAGCCGCGGGCTGCGGGGCACGCTCGGAGCACGCTCGGCGACGGACAGGGAGAAAGCGGAAGCTTAGGTCGGGCATGTCCGCCTACAGGCGGATGTTGGACGAAACACCAAAAAATGACAAACAAACAACAACAACAAAACGTCCACCTACTATTGTTCTAATACTTTTGGAACATTCCTGTTAGAGAGGGACATGCCCGACCTAAGCGTAACCATGGCTTCGCGACGCGTGGGGTAGCGACGGGTCCCGCTTCCGTGGAGAAGCAGAAGCGGCGCGCTCCGTCGCCCAAGTCGGGCGGCAAGGGCCTCACATTCCGGGGGCTGCCTTCCCCGATCCGCAGATCTGGCGCCCACGCGCCAGATCCATGGATCCCTAATCCATGTTATCGTGCGCCCAACTTGGTTCGGCGCTGGACCCACAATCGCACCAGCGCCAGGCCTGTCGGCGACACAGACGCCACCAGGGATGGTGTGGAGGAGGGTCTTGCGCCGACACGAGAGATCTGCGCGGACCTCCGAAGGGCATGCCTGTGCCGCGTTCTTCGTCCTCGACCCACTATATGCTGCCTCCCGCACGTGGGCTCGGCTTCTGCCAGAACCAGACTTCTACACTCTGCTTAGAATCACTGCGCTGCTCTCGGTGCACTCCTCACCGCTGTTGCTGCAATATTTCACCAGGGGTTCGAGCCTGGCTCCACCACCTCGTTGAAGGGGTCCATCGCCTTCATGTGGCAGGCGACGCAGCGGCCGTCTCCATCTGCGCCGGGCAAGCGCGGTCGGTGCCCCAAACTGCTGGAAGATGCCTCCTCCTACTCACTCCTCCCCCCTCCTCACCATCATCTACCACACGCTCATCATCCTCATCATCACCACCAACACCATCATCAGCATCATCGTCATCATCATAATCATAAGTATCATCGTCAGCATCAGCATCAGCATCAGCCGTATCAGCATCATTATCACCACCACCACCATCATCATCATAATCATCATCAACATCATCATCATCGTCGTCATCGTCGTCGTTGCCAGCATCATCAATGTCATCATCATCACCACCATCATCATCATCCGCATCGTCATCACCATCGTCATCATCATCATCATCATCGTCGTCGTCAGCATCATCATCATCATCATCATCGTCAGCAGCAGCAGCCGCATCATCATCAGCAGCAGCACCATCATCACATCAACATTGTTGTCGTCGTCGTCACAATAGCACCAACAACAATACGAACAGCAACAGTTCATCGTCGTCAGCATCGACTTTGCGCGGCGGCAGAAGCGCGCCGCGGACAGCCCTGCCGTCCCCGATGCAACGCGCGCGCCACGACGGCCCTCACGTGAGGTCCTAAACCGAGGTGAGAAGCCCACGCACCAAGCTCGTCCTGCTGTCGAGCCCCGTCCCGGCCATCCGCACGAGACAAGGTGGCCCGTCTGCACGACACGGCGGGGGCATTTTTTGTTGTGGCCCTTCGAGGGCCGAGACCCGTGCATGCACAAATTCGCGACCGCACAAACAGCGCCTGCACAGTCCGCAGGCGGGACCACCAGCCCCCAAGGCGGCGACTACCTCCGCGCCCACCGTTGGCCTTCGGCCTGGGGTCCACCGCCTGCGTTCTCACGGTCGCCGCGCGCGCCAGCCGCCCGCGCGACGTTCAGCGGCTCCGACGTGGCCTCGTCCTCGTGCTCGCCGCGCACGGTGGACTCGGCATCGGAGCTGGTGAGCTGGTCTAGGTAAGGAATTCGGGGCCTGGAAGCCGGTGGAACTCCAATCGTGGATCGGCCATGGATATCACCGCCGCCCCCCTCAGATAAGGAATCTTCCAGGGTCTGCCGCCTCCAGAGCACATTCCTTAACGCACGCCCCCACCGCATCTCTGTCTTCAAGGATGCCGAGGACCACGACGTCCAAATCTCAGGACCGGTAGAAGAACGAGGAAGGACGTCGACAAGGAGCCCCATCCTTGCTGCACTGCGGCGCCCTCCCATAGGGGAGGAGGAGGAGGAGGAAAACGAGGAAAACGAGGAGGAGGAGGAGGAGGAGGAGGCAAGGCGTCCCCAAGGAAGAGGAGGAGGAGTACAAGGAGGAGGACAAGGAGTAGAGCAGGAGGAGTGAAAGCAGGAAAAAAAGTAGTACAAAAAAGGAGGAGAGCCGAGAGGATCACAACTAGAAGGAGGAGAAGAAGAGAGGGGAGGTGCAGGAGGAGATGGAGGCCATGAAGAGTTGTAGGAGGAGGTGAAGCGGAGCAGGAGGAGAGGAGAGGAAGGGAGAGGAGGACAAGGATGAGGAAGGAGAAGGAGTCATAGAGAGAAGGAAACTAATAACAGGAAGAAGAAAGAGAAGAGGAATAAGAAGATGAATAGCGGACCTCCTCGATTGGTCTTCCACTACATCCACCTAAGTATCATCCGTTTCATGTTCCTCCTCCTTCTCATCATCATCATCAGCATCATCAACATGGCATCATCATAATCAGCCTCATCATCATCGCCATCAGCATCAGCAGCAGCAGCATCATTATCATCATCAGCATCATCAGCATCATCAATATCATCATCAACATTATCATCATCCTCGTCATCATAATCAACAACAGCATCATCAACATCATCAACATCATCATCGTTATCATCATCATCAGCAGCATCATCATCAGCATCATCATCGTCATCGTCATCGTCATCGCCATCGCCATCCTCATGGTCATCGTCATCACCATCCCACTCTTCCTCCTGCCCTCCTGGTAGGCGGACGCCTTGAGGGCCTGAGCTGGGGTCACAGCGCTGGCAACGCAGCACATCCTGCGCGGATTCGTGGCCGGCGGAGAAGCTGGACGGAAGACGACAACCACCAACACCACGACGATGCCCACGCGGCGACGACTACCACGGCAACGACGGCCACAACGACAACCACCACGACGACGACCACCACAACGACGACGAGGGGAAAGACGAGGGGAGGAGGGCAAACTGGGTGCACTCGCGCCAAATCTGACATCCAATCCCTCCCTCTCATCCCTCCCCATTGCGCTGTTTGTTCTCTACATAGCCGAACTGCCGACTTGGAACTCCACAAACGACCCCAATGTCATGCGGGGTAGGGAAGCGGAAAGTAGTGGGACCTGTGCGACCTGGAGGACCTCTACTGCCTGTGGGGCCTGTGAAACCTGCGACGCATGTGGGACTTATGGAACCTGTGGGACCTGTGGGACCTGTGGGAAACGTGAGACCTGCGAGACCTGCGAGACCTGTGGGACCCGTAGCTCCGGCGGGACCTGCAGGACCCGCGGGACCTGGGGGACCTCCATGGGACTTGTGAGACATGCGGCACATCTGGGACCCGTGGGACCTGCGGGACCTGTCGGACCTGTGGGGCCTGTGACGCATGCGAGACCTGCGACACCTGTGGGGCCTGTGAGACTTGTCGGACCTGCCAGACCGGTGGTACCTGTGGGACCTGTGGGACGACCTGCAACATTTGTGGGTCCTGTGGGTCCTGTGGGACCTGTGGGGCCTGCGAGACCTGCCAGACCTGTGGGACCTGCGAGACCTGTGGGATCCAGAAAAGTGGCCCACGCTGGGGCGGGAGCGCCATTCTGAACGACAGGAACACAGCGCCGACCCGAAAATGAGGGCCACGCTGAAGCGAGAGAATCATTTTTTAAAAGACTGTACAGAATCGGCGGATTGAAAAACATACGAGAATCCAGTTCGCGCATATCGGAAAAAACGGGGATGTGTAGGTGGGGCGAACACTCTCAGGAAACACTCGGGGGGGAGAGGAGAATGGTATCAAGTGTGTGTGTGTGTAACTGTGGAGGGCGAGGGTGTCTGGTAGAAAGAGGAAGAGTGAGAGGGGGGGGATCGCGCCGCCTTACCACCCACAGGGCAGCAGCTGCGCTGCTCTTGAGCACTGGGTATAATCAGACATGATGTGTGTTATCGCCTTTGCATCGGTTGCACATTCCCTCTCACCTTTGTTGTGTACGTCCCCACAACCATCTGTCCGTGAAGTCACATCCCTCCTTCCCTCAGCATGGTCCACGCGATGACATACTGCTATCCTGGACCAGCCGCACTTCGGCGTGGATCTCAGCGCCTGCAGTCTATATTCGTCGAGGCTTCGGTCTAGCTCTGCCAGTTTTGCGGGCATTCCGCCAGCGTCCCTTGGTCTCTAGACCACTACGCCTAAAATCATCGTCGTCATGCGCGGACAATCGGCATTGCAAGCAACAATCTGGTCTCGGCCAACCCTCGCCACAAGAAACGTGAAAAGAGGTTGACGCGCCACTCCAATGCCAACCCCTTTCGCCCCTTCAACGTCGCCCCCTTCAACGTCGAGGCACAGCGAAACGTAGTCTGGGCGGGCGCGACTGGGAGTTCCACGGCGGCCGACATTGGAGAGGGGGCGCCAACAAGTACTCTGGATTGGTTATTTTTCAAGGGGGGGTGATTAACCTTCTGACTGAGCCTGCCCAGTCCCGCCCCCCTCCATCCTCCTCCCCCTCCTGATCCTCCTCCTCGTCCTTCAACCCCCCTCCACCCATTCCGACAGCACGTGCCCAACCCCCCCAGCGGATCCAAGGGGGGGCGATTATTCCCCCATCCAGGGCACCTTGCACGCCGTACCACCCCAACCCAGGACATCACATCGGCAAGGAAAGTGCGTGTCACTTGTGCGAGATTAGTTGTGTCGAAAGCAGTCCGTTGCGAGCTCCCTCCTTGCGAATTCCCTCCGCGTCGCTCAACCCGCATGTTGCCAAAGTCCCTCCATTCCGTCGCCCCTCTGCTCCCTTCTGCTCCGCGTGCCGCTTGGGCTCCAGGGGCCTGCCAGGCCACTGCGGCTCTCGACCTGCATGGCCCGCCGCAGCGCGGGCACGGCCAGAACGGGCAGTGCCCGGGCTGCCGCTCGCGCCGACGCGACCGGCCCAGGACGGCGGAGCCTACATGGTCTTATACGCAGCAGTGCCACGCGGAGCGCCTGAATCAAAAGTTTACAGCAACAGCGGCCCCGTGGAGGGTCCGGCCTTACAGAAACTGCTCGGTTTAAGAAACCAGCAACTACTTGAGCAAAAACGGGTCAGAATACGAAGCATGAATGCGGAACGCTCCTGGGGGACCGCAGCTGCTGCGACTGTACAATCGGAAAGCGCGCGCGCCAGGGACAAAGGGCAAAGGCCAGACTGCCATCTCGCCTTCGCATTCGCTACGCACGGCCAACCCTGGGCAAAATCTGCATCAAAAGAGGTTGGCACGCCACTTCAATGTCGCTCCCTTTCACCCATTCAATGTCGTCCCCTTCAATGTCGAAGCAGAGCGAAACGCGGTCCGGGCGGGCGCGACACGGAAGTTCCACGGAGACCGACATTGGAGAGGGAGCGCCAATAGTATGTTGCGAGGAATGTCACCCAAGCCCAGGACATTACATCGACAAGGGAACTGCGTGACAATTGGTTGAGGTTAATGTTTGCCGAGGGTAACAGGATAAGCCTTCTGAGCAGCACCCTCTGGCCTACCTTGCCAATGCTGCAAGGTCATGTGTTGGTGTCCCTGAGCGGCCGAGATGCGCAAGGACATCGACAAGCGGATGACAGCCAGGAAACGCAGGACTCTGGGCGGAGGGGTCGGGGTTGAGCGTGCCGAGGAAGCCCCGCACGGCGGCGCGGCTGGACCCTCTGGGGGGGGGGGCGGACGGTGCTGCGGCGGCTCCGCCTGG